GTTCTAAACAGTTTGGGTTCCGTATCTTCTCGTCTCACCTGCATGAAGGTGTGACAGTCGAGGGTGAAAGCTCCACAGGTGATTTGCTTGAAGCACTCACACACGTCAGGCAGTGAGCGCGCTCGCAGGATCTCCATCTGGTGATGGACTATGAGAGTCAGAGCCACCCGGAAGAGAACCTTGGAGCCCTCATAGAAGAGACRGTCCCAGACCCGCAGAACCGTCTGGGAGGATGAAAAATGGGCCTGTAAGATTATGACCTTCTCATGTTGTCACGTTAAACCCTAACTTTTCCTCACCTCTATCGGGAGGATGTCGATGTAGAGGCAGATGAACCAGCGTGACACCACCAGAGTCCAGATCCCTGGATATTGGGCCATGAGCTGCCCCACTGCAGGAGCTTTGGTCTTCACCAGCTCGCCAAGGACTTCCTGGTCCATCTTCAGCCCCAACATGGCCGGGCTGTAGTAGTCTGCAAAAATACTGCATCCAGTTAACACATGAATGTCTGTTCCCTCCTGAGGAGATTTTTTTTAGAAAGGTTAAAAACAAATAGTATCTTACCTGTTGTAGATGGCTCAGTAAACAAACTCATATTGGAGAAATACAGTTTAACTCTGACCAGACTAACAAGTTAATCTGAGCAAGGCCAGTTCTACAGATCAGACTTCTTTAAACCACAMCAGAGGTGCTATAGCCAGCTGCTGACGCCTCTATTTGCCATACTTGAAAAAAATCAAAACATTTATATAAATAACTGCCTAATAATGTGTAACCGACAGACTTAAGTTGTTTAAAGACAACAGGTAAGATGTTATTTGTTCATAACCTTGCCACAGAACCTCACTGCAGAATATCTGAACTACCACTTTAGGAGCTCAGGTCAAACATGAGTTAGACACAAAGAGTAGAGCAAAGGAAGTGAAGATGTGAAAAATGAGGAATAAAAAGAGGTGAAACCAAAGAATAGGAACTCTTTTACTAATATCCAGAAACCTGTATTACAACAACACAGTKCATTATGCTCAACAAATCAAATACATCAGGTGACAGAATTTAAGAGCTGAAAACTTGTGTTTGTAACTAGGGCTGCCACGATTAATCGATTAATC